CATGTGCGCAGTCCTTAAAAACTGCCCAGCAAAACTGTCGGGCAGTCAACCGCATTCCTGTATGATCGTGCTAGCTACATTCATGTATACAAAGTGCTACAAATAACATTGATTGATCCGAAGCAATCAAGAGAAATTCATCCCATACAATGACATTAACACAAGAGTTGATTTTTTCACTCTGTTGAATATGTGCCCTCAAGGACGCACCTGCATTTTACGTGAAGCAACGATGATGATGTATTCATGTATACAATACGTCTCTCTGTTAGGCGTAACCAGGGTGTATTCATGTGTACAAACATACTGTTACTCTCACTGGGTATACGTAGCATTGAAGAATATATTTATGAACGTATAAAAATGGCTACCATCTATTGCATCTAGAACAGTATTAAAAATAAGTCGCTACCCTGTTACTAGCAGGGCAATATTTATTTATTAACTGCTTTACAACAAAATGCAACATTTTTTGCAGGGAGTGATGATGTAGTGATATAATAATTATGTAGTTTATGTACAAGTTTATGCTACTCAAGTATGTAGTAAGTTTGAATACAAGCTGCTATTCTGTGTATTTTTGTACACAAAAGCTACTTTCAGGCTTTTTTTAATTGCTTTAGTTAAAAGGAATTATGAATTCAAACAGTGGTACTTAATTTAGACAATAACTTAAGCAGCGTATTAGATTATACGGTTTCTGAATCTATTAGGATTCACAAATTAAGGAAGGTTACACTTTGTATAGATATATATATATTTGTATATAAGCGAGAATGCCTGAAAGTCAATACACTGATTTGTAGATATCATATAGTGGCTTTAGTGAAGCCAATTACAGTCGACACTAACACTTCAGTGATTATGAGCATCACACATCTGTATATGTCGCTGAATCAACATAGGCAGACGGGGGACGACAAACGATGTAATCGTATTGCAGGGAGCTATAGCTAGTACAACACATTACTGAGCTGGTGTTATTGAAATTATTCCAACATCCTCACGATCTCCTGGGGTCCGTATAATGCTGCATTACAAAGAATGTGGACAATATCTACAATTGTACTTCTCCCGTCATCTCGAGCGGCCGGTATTAGCATCCTTTCTATCCAGAAGCTCGGGGCGAAAAATCCTATATCTGAATAATCACGCCGACAATGCACGAGATAAGACAACGAACGATACGCTATTGAACGGTCGTAGTCGTCTTCCAACCAAGCAGGTTCTAATAAAAAGGACATCACACAGAAATGTACTCTATTCTGACAACATTGATGAAGATTTTAGTATATTAAATTGGAGATGATAATCAGCACGTGTTGTTTTGCCTATATTCATCAGTGGAGACACAGATTACATTAAGAATTCATCCTCAGCTCGAGGACCTGGAACAAACAATTATCCCGGACCAGGAGCCACCATGTATACCTATACAATCAAGGCTGATTTGAATAATTGTTTACACCAGTTACGAGTGTGTTTACAGTATCAGTGTTCCTGTCAACACCTATAAACTTATTACAAAAAAACATTTCACTATTTTTTAAATTTGAAAAATATTTTTAACAACAGAAATTGCTACATCTGTATATATATCTACAAAGAATTGGATTGAAGTTATGAAATATTAAAACAAATTAAAGTCTATATCTTGCCGTTTTTATATTACCTGTATAAGCTAATTTGAAGTATAATACACTCCATGTACTTAGAAAATAATTCATGAAAGAAATGTCACTGAGCATTGAGCTTTATACTATATAATTATAACTTCTATAATCTGTACATACAATAAACCTTCAGAAATTAACAGCATAGTTGTACAGCTGGTATACTTTTGCTTTTCATATTTGATGACAATTCTGTTGACAGTTAAAGTAAAGAACAACAATTCAACCTTGTCATATATATATGTCATATTGCATGTGGACATCTTTTACACAAACTATGTTTCCCAATTTTATTAGGAATCCGTTATACTGCAGTTCATTTCTAATCTAGATTTCTAATCAGAAATTTATTGATATAAGGTTATTTTTCAAATGTCAAATTGTCTGGATTATTCTATGAAATAACATTGATCTAGAAATGTATAGGACATTTCATGTTTCTATTGTGATCATAAATTGCTTTTGATTATCTGCTGTATGAAGCAATAACACATAAAATTCCATATTTCTCCAAAAGTCGTAAGTAATGAATGTCTTCAAATTTCACCATGAAACCTTCAGCAGACAACATGAACATCAATATTCGCTGATATACTGTTTTACTTCCAGAGGAAATTCCCTCGCCTCTACAGGGCGCCTGCTGCAGATACTTTATGTATACGTTCAGTGTTGCAATAAACTTCCTTTATGCTTTGACCTATGAAACAACCAAACACAGTAAAGACCTTATGGTCGCATGATCACTGTCATATTTTCTGTAGAGCTTTGTAAATAATCACAGTCACGTTGGCTCTTAAATCATCGCAATAGCTCCTACACCCTGGCAGATGGCAGTGGGGAATTAACTCCACACAAGCACTTGAGGCCATTTCGGAGTTGTTGAAATTGTCATGACTTTAAACCTGACACAGCCAACCTCCTAATGATGAATGGTGGGGCCCTATTTGAGACAGATAGTGGTTGCTTGACAGAAATCAGCCATTTTGGTCGCACCTAAGATTCTGCAAAGCAGTGATACATATATCTAGGTGAAAGAGTCCAATTAATTTTCGGTACAAAAAAAAGTGTGTACATTCTTTTGAGATTGTTTTGCCTTTTTGCCACATGGAAGCTATGTATGAGCCACACATTATGTAATTTTTGTGTGCGATTCTCTGAGGTGCAAACTCCTCAGAGTCAAGTGCTTTCGGTTTCCTTCGTTGAGAGTTATGTTCGAGACCTTGGCAAGCACAAATAACTCAACTTGAAACCTCATTATGACACTGAATCAGGTGCACACACTATCACTATATATACACATGTAAACAGACCATAAACTGTACTTTCTATCAGGTCAATTTTGCACATGTAAAAAGACGTCTATAATAAATTGAATTACTATTGAAATCTATAGAGATGACGAGTTTCGATAAAAACTCACAGGGTTTTGATTAATACAGACTCGATATAAAGTGCACTGAAAAATGGATTTTAGCTGTTTTTACTTTTGAATGCCACAGCAGCAAATTTATATGGGTGCAAAACTTATATAACTAGACAATTATAATACAATGGAATGACAATTCAACATTAGGCAAATGTCAAAATTCTTTTTTTCAGACGGCGAACATTTTAATGGTTCTCCAAGTTGAATTTTTAAAAAGATAGAAAATTTAGGGAAAAAACTCCAGTTTACAATTGAATTACCGTAAAAAACCATGTAATTTGCACAGGTACTTTTTTGAGGCTGAAAATCCCCAAAAAAGCTTCTACTTAAATATTTTGCACAGCTAAAAAAAGATGGAAAAAAAAATCCAAGTTCCGAAAATCGATCTCTGAAAATGAAAGACAAACCGGTTGGGATTCTTAGGAGTTCATAAGCATTGTTTACAGGTACAATGATGTTAAAACTAAGAGGAAACTGCGTAAAATGTGTATTTGGTTGTTTGTTGACACACACGTGTGCGCATATCGGCATACATCAATTCATTTTAGCAATATTTTACATAAAACATTTACTTGCTTACAAAAACATATCAATTAAGAAGTAATTCGATGTTTAGTAACCGCTGGTGCATACCTAGTGGTGAAAGACATAATTAGATACCTTTTATTGATCATAATAACGATCAGTGAGAAGGGCTCATCATAGCGGCTTGGGTATCGTCACTTCAAACCAGGTCATGTCACAGTTCAGTTTGGCCACGGACTTAGATTATCTAAGTCCGTGGTTTGGCGATACTTTTTGGCCACACAATTTTTACCTACTGTAAAATTATTAAAATCGGTCATCTGTGGTCATGACTGCTGGTTTTGCGACATTTACAGGTAAGTTAACCGGTGGGCATAATTTGTCCGATATCGTCTGGTCCCAGACAATAGGCAAGGTAGGATCGCATGCCTCAGCGTAAATTATTGACACTTCTCAACACTACAGTCAATACAAATTATAATGCAGTAATTAGCTAACACTATATCTGTGATTACCAGTTAACAAAAGCTCTACTAATTGAAATGATTTGCAGTCGCGATCGACGGACCATGTTGTTGTTTTTTTCACTCACCAACACGTGGCGTGAATTACGAAGCCCTACTGCATTGTCTACAGACTGATTTGACCGATAAGGGATTATAAAAAAATATGTTTATACTAGAAGCTAGCATGGACAATCAATACATCCTCTTCAAATCTACTCCATCATTAAATCAGAGTATTTTTACGATGCTTCATTTAATAAATATTGAAATAATTCACAAGGTTATTATCAATCACGTGTTTACGTAATGTTAGACGCGTGATCAACATGAAAGTGAGCCGGGAAAGAAAACATGCTGTATGCATAGGCGATTTGAAAAAAGCCCTTACAGAACTTACAAGCAATGGAGCTTAAATTGAACAACTTCATTTTCGTAATAGTATGGGAAAACGCACCGAGATGTCGAAACGTAAGTTGATCGGCGATTCTCTGGCATAGGAATTTGGCTAAACTTTCTTTGTTAACGGTTACCTATTTAATAATGCTTTGCTAATGCATAAACTCAGGTAACAACACAGTATGTATCAATTGTATCTTTTATTGATGTTTGACATAAATAAATGTGTTGATCGTCGTTTGTCTTTGAGTTCTGTGTACCAAGGGAGATTATCTCGTGTCCAAGATGGCGGTCTGCCAGAATCGTCGATCTTTTCATGAAAAAAACTTCAAATTGCTTATACCCGTGTATTTTACGCACTCCCCACTTTGGGTATTAAATTTCTGGAAAAAAAGTGCGCAAATTACATGGGTTTTTATGGTATTTATGAATTCATAAAGTCTGAATCATATTGTCTTGAAATCATGTACTTACCATGGCTGCGGCATAAATGGAGTCTGTATCATAAATATATAAAGCGTCGTTACAAACTCCACTGGGCAGACGGTCAGGTATATCCAATTCTATAATGCGTAACATTAGCTTCCAGCCACTGTTTTCTGGCCGGAAAGTTATACTGCATGAAAGGTCTTCGCCGTAATACATTGCTTTCTCCACATTGTGTGAATACACAGTGGCGCCCCCTATATGTTTTGTATCATCACACTCCACACCATCCATATAAACTGCAAAGAGACAAAGAAAGCAACATGGATATCAATGATGTAATCGTAATTGGACATTAGCACAACATTTTAACATTTATATGAAAATCACTAAATATTACTTTTATGTCACTTTCAAGAATTGAGCTTTTTTTATTGATTGATAAAACGTTAGCCACTCCAAGCACTGTTCCAGAACTTGTCAAGCACCTTATCATGATTTTCCAGATCTAAATGTTCAGAAAATGGGGTTAACATTTTCTGTTTTTAGTGAACATCAGATTTAAAGTAATAATTCTAGCACCTCGTATGCACCAACTGTTAAGCCCATCCAGCCGTATAGATTCAGGTTCTTACTGAATGAGAAATATACATTGGAACTTCATTATTTATGAAACAATATCAGTTATCTCCATTTTTTTCTGTGTACATTTGGGAACTTTGACAATTTTTTAAACTCAACTAAAATCTGCACACAATATCATACTGCTCTAGTAACAGGTAGTTATATAAGTAAAATATCCATCAATTGAATTTTTTTTTATTATCAATGGCAGACTGTTCACAATGTGTAGTGCTAATTTCCAGACAGGTATATATAGAAAAGAAAACCTAGATATTCAAGGGATGATTATATAATATTGATTTAGGATACTAAAACTATATGGAGCAAAAATAATTTTTTGATGCACACATACATTATTGCCAAAGCTTATATACAAATTATAGCAGGTACGGTCAGCGGTGTGGTTGTTATGATAAATACGGTACCGGTATATGATCTTTGCAAACTGTCACTTCATCTTATATAGCGTATACAATCTATAAGATGTACTTTTAGAATTAAGGATATCAACCTGATTTTCTATAACATGTTATAAAATCAATCAAGTGAAAGTATTTATAGGCCACAGTGACCCAGGTGCTGTGTTTTTGACACACAGTCCTTACCCCTATAACTATACACAACTCCAGATCTACAACTATCTTCATGGTACAAGACCACCCAAGCCTATAGCATACTACTCAATATTAGCCCGGCAGCAGTGATACATGTGCATGGTAAGCTTACGGTGGACTGGGAGCAACAGCCGGAACACGATTTTCCAACTGATCAGACAAATAAACATACGCCACGCCACGTGAATCTCTGTTACGTTCTATCAGGGAACAGCCCAACACAACCTCGCTGAAATCCTGGATCAGGATTTTTTTTATCAGGTGTATCGAGTTTGTCAATTTAACACCTTGATAATTTTATTTTCACAGCTGATGAAGTAGCCACACTGAACCGTTTTAAGCTACATCAGTATTTGTTAAAGACATCACCGATATTAAAACGGGATCATATTCAACCGCAATTTGTATCTAATGGTACAGATATCATATACCATCTTATTCACAGAAAGTTAACTACAGCTAAAAATGTAATAAACAGCGATGAGATCGTATGTGTTGTACAATGACTTAGCAGTAATAGAGGACAAATGGGGGTTTATAACTGACTTAACTATACTATGAGAACACTCAAGATCTTTTTACACAACCAATAAAGAACTTCTCATAATCCATACTTACCAACCTAAAGAAAATGTCTAGAAAGACTTGACTGTATGTTTTTCCTTTCCATTCTGAAATCAACATTTCAGTGAAAGAAATTGATCAGAGATTCATTTAGAAATGCAACACCTGTGATCCTATGATATTTTGAATGTTCATTTCTTTTCTGACATCGACAAGGTAATTAATTAATCCGTATTTCTTCAGCTGATGCCTACATGCAGAGCCAAGCCCAATTTATAATGTCAATGTGACCCAAAATTGACCCCATTTTGCACCTGATGACATGCATTGACATATATTTATCTATATATATACTGGTATCTCATCACTTTATCATATCATTGTGTTACACTATACATATGTGTGGGCAAAATTGAAATACGTGGGGTGGTATGCTTTCCTACAGGGGTTCAAAGTCTCTTTAATATCCAAATCACACGCTACAGTAAAATCATGTTTTGACTGGCACAATTAGTAAGTTAAACCATGTAAATCTCGAAGGCTGATGTATGGGAAATGTCAAACATTATCCCCATTCACTGATTTTTTAGTCAATTTGACATATGACATTTCCCCTAATGCAGTCTTTTTTATTAGCTATTGTTGTAAGGATTATTCGTGTTTTTTCAATTTATCTGTAACATTTGACTCAATAGTAGACTTGACCCTTTAAATGATCCGTGTCTCACGTTGGCAGGTGTATGAACAGAGTTAAGTCATGAAATGTTTTTTTCTGTCTCATTGTGTTTTGTGACATTCTACCTGCTATTTAGTTTCTATAATAAAAACAAGATCCCAGTGGTTCTTTAGTAAACCTAACAGACTTTTTGACAATTCATAATGACAATTGAAATACCAGAACAGGTGTATCAAAAGATTTAGCTTTTCTGTAATGGCGTAATTTTATGTTGGTTTAATTATATATTTTAAAACATCAGGCTTCAGATGAAAATTTGTGGAAAATGTGAAGTTCAACACAAGCCTGGACGAGCTGCGGGTAGATGTAATGAGACCCCGTGGAAATTCAGAAGTGTCTCCGACTCTGATTTTCAAAAAGCACAAATTTCCTTCCCTTTCTTAATATTGAAGTTTTCCTGCTCATTATATCAAATACTTTATTAAGACAAAATTTGAAAAGATAATTGAAAATAATACTGGTAATGTCAACAAAAAACTAAATACAATTTTTTCTAACCAAAAACTTCTGGTAGGAGGTTAGCTACATTGTAACTTTACCAAACTGAAAAAAAAACCAATTTTATCAAATGAACATGCAAGGTGCAATAAGTAAATTTGGGCTCCTGGGTACGTTTGAGGCTGGCATGAACTTTGGTGGTCATGCATGTGGGTAGACATGGTTTAGGTCTCCATACTGGAGACATTGCAATGAAACTTGACACCTTCAAACATGTCAAAATTTGTCTAACGATAGTTTATCTTAATTAGGCTAATATGAACCAGTAAAAGTCTGTCAGGTCAAATCCCAGTCTCCCTAAATGACCACACACTACAATGGTCTGATCTAGACTGGGATAAGAATGTCAGCTGACTTTGGGCGGGCAGTGGACCATTGGTAATTAAAGGCCTTTCTCTCCTGCAGCTTGTACCCTGGCTGTAGTTCACTGGCAGAGCTTGTTAGCCCAGCAGGTTGGTCATTATCTGGGGTCTGGGAAAACACTCCAAGTCTGACCGACACTTGTACAGGTCTGGTATTGTAGTGATAAACACATACAGTTTTGGTGGTTCTGACATCGCTACTGATCCGTGTATAGATATATATTTTATGACCTCCACTAATGATTTCTCAGGACAGATTACAAGTCTTTATAAGTAATATAGTGTCTCAGACAAGTTGGTTTTCTTGTTGGGTTTGATTTCGTGGACAGAATACATGCACATATATACATTGTACTCAATGTTCGACACTGACAGGAGGTCTGCCAAGGCAGGTTACCTCTCAAAATCATAATACAGGTGGTCTGTTGAAACAATTTCTAACTGCCTCCAACAAATGTTTAGATCACTCTGTATCGAAAGAAACATCTCAAAGTCAAATACACATAAATTACAATATACTAGCAGTACATGTATAGATGTTTCCCCATTATCTATCTATCTATATGTTATACTCTACAGAGACCAAAATGGCTTCAATGCGGAGGGGTTTATAACTTATATTTTCCTTGTGGTCAGCGTTCATAATGTCTCTCAGGAGAGACAGATGTTCTCTAAAATCTGTCGCTGTCTAAAGAGAGATATTCCTTTAAAAGAGATATTCTCTTATTAAAGGTGGTCTTAAATGACAGCTGTTCTCAAAGACAGGTCTTGGTCTCTTAAAAGAGAGGTATTCCCTAAAAACAGGCATTTAATTTCTCTAAAGACAGCTGTTCTCAAAGACAGCTAGGGTCTCTAAAGAGAGGTATTCCATTAAAAAGGTATTCTCTAAAGACAGGTGGCCTCTTATAAAGACAGCTGTGTTCTAAAAGACAAATGGTCTCTAAATAGAGGTATTATCTAAAGAGAGGTATTCTCTAAAGACAGGTACAGCTCTCTAAGGACAGGTTGTCTCTTTCACAGATCGATGGTCTCTTACATACTGAAGACATCAGGGAGACCATCCAAATCACTGCACGGAAGTTCTAATGGTCCCTCAAGACAGGTCACCTCTCATGATCAACAGCTATACCTGTATTTACTCTGCAATAAGCCCAGGGACAAACACATTAATTCTGACTCAAAAGCAGAGGTTGGGCTTATAAGAAGACAACGAAACACTATTTGGTGGCATTTCTACTGAAATACTATATCTATGGATGGGCTTATTAACAGGTATGGGCTTATTGCTGGATCAATATAGCAGTTTCTGAGGACTGACAGGTGGTCTCTACAGACAGGTGATCTAGCTATAATATATGGTCTCTACAGACAGGTGATCTAGCTATAATATATGGTTTCTACAGACAGGTGATCTAGTAGCTATAATATATGGTCTCTACAGACAGGTGATCTAGCTATGATATATGGTCTCTACGGACAGGTGATCTAGCCATAATATATGGTCTCTACAGACTGGTGATCTAGCTATAATACATGGTCTCTACAGACTGGTGATCTAGCTATAATGTGTGGTCTAGATCTTTCAAGCCAGGTTCAATTGTTCAGTATTGAACCTGTCTTGAAATATCTAGACCATACATTACAGCTAGATCACCTGTCTGTAATCTAGCTATAATATATGGTCTCTACAGACAGGTGATCTAGCTATAATGTATGGTCTAGATCTTTCAAGACAGGTTCAATTGTTCAGTATTGACAAATTTGCCAAAAACATTGAATGAATAAATTAGGCACAACTAGTAAACTGTGAGAGTTGCATTTTTCAGGTTTTAGTCATGGTTTAATGTATAAAGTGCCAATGATAAGCAGAAATGTGCACCAGATAAAACTTTTTCCCAATT